TAGCTTTATGTATATTTGTTAATTTAAACATTCATAAAATCAATTGAATAGTTATAGATGTCATTTATAATAGTATAGTGTCGTATTTTTGAGCAAGATAAGATATATTTATCTTAGCTGCATGTCAATCTGAGTTATTGGAAATTGTGGAGAATAACTACTGGGAGAATTGAGATTTGTGGAGAATTGTGCTTCCAATGAATGACATCAGACTGTTGTTAACAAGGTTAAAAGCAATCGCACTTGACTGTAAGTCTTACCTAATTATCTACAATATTAGTGGGTGTACGGTAAAAGTGTCATATAGAGTATTTTATAGCACTTTTTCAAAAATTTGTCCAATTAATAACATTTTTAACTATAGAATAAAATAAATCTATTATAGGTCGTGAACGGTTCATGATGGGTGTAAGTAGCAAGGACTATTGTAATAACATAAGTGCTATAATGATGGCGTGAAAGAAATTATTGAAGACTTCTCATGACACAGTTTTTTTTAAACGTTTCAAGATCCTCATTTAATTATAATTCATCGGTTTAGTGACATTTGGCGCTATATTGAACTTTTGAGACTTATTATTTTAAGCAATTTATTTTTTATAGGAAAAAAATTTCCAAAATGTGTTAGTGTGATAAAAACAATTTATAAGTTCAGAACAATTTTGTATCTTTTTACGACCTTTAGAATTACTTCACATGTCTGTTATTATAATAAATTTTGCAAAACCTTGCTCATAAAGGGCTTTTCTATCCATTTGTGTAGAATAGGGTATTTCGTAAGGTTTGAAAAAAGGCAATAAACACGTAGCAGTGATTAACCTATAACTTTTATTTACAACACGAAGTTTGTTATGGAATTTTAACAAATAAAATTATTTATAGATATTTTTATAATATATCTTGTGTACGAATGTAATTCAGATTAGTTATTCTTACTTACTTCCTGCTTCATTGTAGATAAATTAATTTTTCGAAAGTTAATTGTGCAAAATAATAGCCTTAAAATATATATTATTGCCTATTAAAACACAATGAACACAAAATGTTTACACTGCAATTGTTATAAAATTATACTAAAAGTACTTCAATTACTACGAACGATATTGTTTGATAATATAATAATATAAATACATAATAGTAAAATACTCAGTTATGCAACCGTATTAACAGTAATGGCAGTAGTAAAAGAAAAAAGAAATGCAGATATTAAAGGAAAAGATGCATTTGTATATTTATAAATGAATCTATATATGAATATATATATGTGTATTTAGTGTACAAGACTGATATGTGCAGTGATAGATAAAGTCAGTTTTTGAAAGCAAATTGCTTTAAGTTGCCAACAGTCGTCGTTACTCAATTTGTGGATTGCTGGAAAATGTAAAATTGATTAAGTTTGTTCCATTTGATTTGTAATTCAATTAATTTAATAATGTAAGCATATAAATCGAGATTGTATCAATCTTCCAAATAAGTTATAAATTAGGAAAAGGAATATATTAGTTTAGTTGTGTGTTTGAGCCAAAGTAACGATTTAACACAAGTTAACAGCCAGAGGCAACAAATTATAACAAAGCCATTACGAGGGTAGACTTAAATGTTTTTTGTTAAATGTTTTTTTTAATTATTTTACTTTTTCTCTTGATTTTTGTAAATATCAACTAAGAACTAATAATAAGTTATCGCTGCTAAATGCAGTCAATGCAAAGTTTCTTCTAATATCGTTACCATGTCGGGTGTTATTCTTCAAGAGGTGGGCTTAGAAAGTGTAGTTCCTTTTATGTCGCTGGTTTCCAGTGCATTTGGGTAAGATTGCTAGAGTTTTATGATTCTTGAGTTTGACTGTGTTCTGCTGACAATTACATCTGTGATTGTGCTAATTCGAAGATGAATATTCGTGTTTTTCATAAACCAGAGGAGTTTTCCAATATTTGATAAAGAAGCAGAGCTCCAGAGTTCAAATCCGTACGTCCATATGGGTTTTATCATTGTATTTCTTATAAATAATTCAACATTTTTTTTTTACAAATATACAAATTATCAATCCACAAAAAGTATTTACTGTCGTTAATTTATACAAACAGTATTCGTTTTCATTATTTTTTCTCTATATTTTATACATCACTTTTATCTGGGTTCTGATCCATGTATAAAAAATTATTTGCAGCTACTATATATCTTCCTCTAAGGAGACTTGGCCACCTTTTAAGGAGCTTGCCATCTTTCTATGGAGCCCTGCCCTTATTCTAAGGAGCTTTGGTCTCTTTCTAAGCAGGCTTGGTCTCCTTTTAAGGAGTCTTGGCCTCTTTTGAGGAGCCTTGACCTTCTTTTTAGAAGCCTTGCCCTCCATTTGAGGAGACTTGGCTTCCTTTTAAGAAGACTAGGTCGTAGCCCCTTTCTAAGTCGAAGTCAATACGATTGAAGTCAATGCGCTTTGGCCCTTGATGGGGCCAAAATTAGCAAGGTTAAAAAGAAAACCGTCAAGTTCCGTATTTCGGAGAGAAGAAAAAGAGTAAGACCACCAAAAAAATAAACAGAAGACGTGCGAAGCAGGAACTTTAAAAGAAGCGAAGCTATGAATTGTGACGAATGACGCGCAATTGTAAGCGAGCCAGTGGCTCATCCTGGGCAGTAATTGTTATGCTCATGATGATATATACAATGTATACCATTGAAATATTTTTGAAAGCAATTCTTATGTTGATGATAACGAAACTATATACAAAATTTACCATCAAAACATATTTGATTTAAATTTTTCCAGTACAAATTGAAAAGTCTCAATAATAATTTATTTAAGCTATACTAAATTATTTTTAAATAATTTTAATGTGTGTTTAAAAGATATTTACAATTTTTGTTGTAGTAATTTTAATTTACATTTAATTTCTTACGTAATGTACCTATAATAAAATATTTTTACTTTAATTCACTAATTAAAAAAAATTAACTTAGTTACCTCGTAACATCAATAGTGGAATAGTAAAAAATAATAATAAAATTGAAGTAGTGAAAATGATATTGTTTGAATTAAAATTAATGGCAACGCAATGGTAGCTACAGCAACAGTCATAGCAACATACAATTTCAATCGATTACCAATAATTGCTACAATTCCATGCAGCACTGCAATGGCTTACATGTGTTGCTGCAGTAACTGTGGGTATTACCAATTTCGAAGCGCATATGCAGTGCACACTTGCAATGCAATTGCCACAAAAAATAATTTCGACTTACTCATTAATTTGTTACTTAATATTACTAACAAATATTAAAGTTGTAAAGTTGTAAAATGTGAACCAAAGAACAACGAATGCAACAATGCCGTTCGATTTCGACGTCATAATGAATTGAAAGTGAGCGTTTGTTTGAAATCAAATAATTAATTGTAATTTTATTTGAATTATAAAACGAAATAAACTTAATAAAGTTGTATACAATTTAATTTAAGCATATGTGAAATTAAATTTAATGAGATAAGAGCATTAAATATATATATACTTGATTACGTATCCTGCACCAATTGTGTTTCACAATTCACTTTAGCTCTGAAACCAATATATTTTAAATAACTCTAAATTGAAACATAAATTGTTTTTTTTTAAAGATTGACAGAATTAAGAATTCAATGTGGTAGAAAACCAGTTATAAAGAGCATTTTCCAATTATAATCATTTAATTAATAGCTTTTAGTATTGGGATCATTGGGATATATGACTAATTCCTTAGACAATCCATTCGTTAATCGAATAGCTAGTTAAATCAGATGACTATATATAATTGACTACTCTACATAAATACCGCATAATGTGTAACCGACAGAATTTAATCACTCTTCAAGGGTTTTTATTATATTGGACGTAAGGGATAATAATAAGCTATTTATAATGTAGCTTATAAATAAATAAATGCATTTGATTTAAGCATAGACATAATTATTAAATAAAAAATAAAAACAATTTGATTTCATCAATTAAATTCTTAACCATTTTTGTATTTCGAACTAATAAACTAGTCCAGTTCAGATGTTAAAATGAAGCCCCAACACTTCCACCGCTTAAATAATAGCTAGAAATATTTTTAGCGAATACTCGTTAGAGTATATTTTATATTTTATTTGATTATATTACTATCAATTAAGTTCTTAACTATTTTATATTTTATTCTGAACTAATAAACCAGTCCAGCTTGGATTTTGAATTGAAGTTCCAACACTTCCACCGCTTAAATAATAGCTAGAAATATTTTCAGCGAATACTCGCTAGAGTATTTTTTATATTTTATTTGATCGTATTACTAGCAATTCAATTCTTAACTATTTTATAATTTATTCTGAACTAATAAAAATGTCGAGTTCAGACGTTGAAACAAAGTTCCAGCACTTCCACCGATTAAATAATAGTTAAAAACATTTTTTAGCGAATACTCGTAACTAGGTATATCAATAATAATTGCAAGTATGAGTAAACAGAGCTGACTTCATATACTTAACCATGACCTACCAGCGATTGAAGTGAATTGTCTTAGTTTTCTACAAATAAGAAATATATTGAGTAATGAGTTTTTACCACAGAAATCTATAACTCGAACATTAAACAAAATACAAAAAAAAAAAACATAAAACAAACAACAATACATAATTAATAAATTATTTACACTTCAAAGGAAGAGTAAAAAAAATTTATATGCAACTACCAATTAGTAACGATTCGCTACTCGCTACTGCCACTATCGGCGGAAATGCAACCCAAAGACATACTTAACTAATTGACTTAACGCTTTTCCATTGCAACGCTTTCCACCACATTTACAATTGCACAAGTATTTACTATTACTAACACACATTCACACAAACGCTGAATTACACAATTTATCATTAAGTAAATAATAACAATTATAGCTTTGATTTTTTATTTGTTCACAATTTTTTTAAGAGTATCTCACTAATAAAACCATTTGAACTGATTACATTGTTGATTTTCTTTATCATTGCAGTGCAGTAAGTAAAACAGTCGTCAGTGGCATAACATGTTGGTAACAACTCAGTGGGAGCAGCAAGCAGCAAACAGCAAGCACCAAGCAACACTTAACAGCTTGAAACAGATTTGATTTACGTTTGATGTCCAGCTCAGGATATAGAAGTTTTATATAATTATAAGCAACATTTGAAGTAAGAAGCAACGTTCATTAATTCAAAATGCCATATTTTCCTATACAACATAGTAAGAGCAGCCACAAGATGAGCAGCAACACCTCTTTGGACAATACCTCAGATCAGGATTATAGTGAATTCCTGAATGAGTATTTGCTGCAAACCAACTCGCCCAGTAATGAACCGGAAATACAGTATGAAGGTATGTGGTATACTTATTATTTTTGTGATATAAATTCATTTAAATATATGAAATTTTTTTTTGTAGAGGGTGAAATGGAGGCGGAATGGCTTATTGCAGCCGGATATCCACAGTTAACAAAGCCATTTGAGCAGGTAATTGCATATAAGAAGTTGGATATAGTTTTCTATTATTATGATATATACAATGAATATGAAGTTATAATTGTGTGAGAATAGTATTTAATCAAGACTGGGCCCTTGTTAACTTTGTCATACAGTTTCTAATGCACTGAAAAGGATTTCACAGACTCTCTAGCGTATACATATTGTTAATCAGTTTGATAAGACGAGTTGATCTTATCATATTAGTCTGTTTGTCTGTCTGTTTCAAAGTAAACTGTATATCTATTTGAAATAGATGAATGAAATTGATCACGCAGAAACTCAACAGCACATACTTTTGTCTGTTAATTTGTCTATTTTAACGTGAACTTCTATTTTAGTTTCAAAAAGACGATTTTAATTATTTGTGCAGTATGCTTTCAGCTATATATGTTGAATATACGTATTTATCCACACAATTGAGATCGGGTAAGATAAATTGTCAGGGATAAAATGTTAAACATTCGTCGAAACAATTTAGATCGGGTAAGATAAATTGACCTAATTATGTCAGTCTGTCAGGGATAATATGTTTAACATTCGTTGAAACGATATCATCGATTGACCATATATCCATATAGTTGCAATTAATACTGATATATCTAAAAACATATTTTCTCATCATTTGTACTTACTTGATTGGATTTGAGTATGTACTATTTACTTAGAGGCTTTAATTTATAACATCAAGCGCAACTATGCAATAATGTCTGAACCTCGCTTTCTGATTTCCTTATAATAAACATTATAGAATGATGGTAATGGTTTTACATATTATATCTGTGATATATTTCTAAACTGTGCTTATAATAAATGTCTTGTGTTTATATATAGAATAATGCTTTTCTATTTAGTTAAATCTCATAGTTGGTTTTCATAACATGTAGACAGAAACCGTTCACCGGTAAACCGGTTAAAATATAACATATTGTATCTTGATTTACTGTTTACTGTTTATTAATCAACAGTAATATCCCTGCGCATCTAAATTATATAAATTAAACTTACTCTACCATTTTTATTATTTTCTTGGCAGATAAAGATCTCTCAATGTTAGCCATAGTGTTTGTTATAATAGTTCATCGGTATATTTAAAAAGGCCTTGATCTCCTTTAACCTCGCTTTTGCTATATGTCGGACAACTATAGATTATATGGTTTTTGATATATGCGTATTTGTATTAGTGGCATAAATATTTAGAAGGGTTATTTTTTTTAAAAAAATTAGAGAATTCATGGAGTATTCTTGTTGGGACATTGCATGTATATTTTGTTAACTAAAGTACTTTTAATAATTGTACGAGACGATGTGTAGAGTTTGCTAAATATTACTTTTCATGATAAAATTTTATTATTCAAAAACTTTTTTTATTTGAACATTATAGAAAAGAAAGAGAATCCACATTTTATATTTCTAGTAATCAGATTATACGACTTTATGAATATAATAAAACAATTCAAATATTTTAGAGTTCACACCGGCTCTACGATATTTCCACCACTTCTTCTGGTGACAGCTATAAATTATTATTCTTTTGATACATTTACAATATTTCTAAGACTCGAATATAGAGTTAACGTACCGGGTCTGTAATATTTCCACGGCTTCTTTTGTACAAAGCTTAAAATTATTATTCTTTTGATACATTTACAATATGTGTAAGACTTTGATATAGAGTTAATCTACTGGTTCTGTAATATTTCCAAGACTTCTCCTGTAAGCAACTATAAATAATTATTCCCTTGATTCATTTACAATATTTGTAAGACTCAGGTATAGAATTAATGTACCAGCTCGGTAATATTTTCATGACTTTTTCTGTAACCAGCTATAAATTATTATTTCTTTGATTCGTTTACAATATTTCTAAGACTCAGGTATAAAGTTAGTATATTGGTTCTGTACTATCTTTTGGAAATTATTATTCTTTTGTTTCATTTACTATATTTTTAAAACTCTATAATATCCCACGACTTCTCTGTAGGCAGTTAAAAGTTATTATTCCTTGAACCACAATATTTGTAAATTTTTTGTTTATATGTTCCAAACTATATTCACATACTACAGTATGTCTTTTGTATATATTACTATATATTTAAGTTGAAGCTATTTGAGCTAGTACATTTTTACTTTTTCTTAACTCGTGGTATTTTCAAAACCCCACTTTATGCCTTGACTAGATTATTGTTTATGACTTCATCAGACTAAGCAATAATTGACCTCAGATCTGCATATTCCTTACACAATAAATTGTACATATTACAGAATGAAATGATAATAATACAAAAAATCTTATAACATGAACTGAGTATATATATACTTTGTTTATATATAAATATGCAATATATGGTACTATATATAATTGGAAGAAATCGATATTTGTAAGCATGACTTAAGCATCAAACCACTTGTGTAAACAGTGGTGTTACGAAAAATAAATATCACCATAAAATATTTTTATATCAATAAACACAGATTAAGCAAAAATCCGACCTTTGGCAATAAAACCAAAACACTTCCTTTATTTCAGTTTATCGCCAAATATTAGTCTTCTACTAATATTTCAATATTTGATATCAATTCACACTTCAATCGCATATCAGCAATATTTATTTATTTTCGAGTACATTAGCATTTGACTTAGCTTCAAAATAATGAGTCTTCTGCATTACTCTACTATATATAAATAGTATACTATATATCCAAAAATTTGTATACAACATTTGTATATTTTTTAATCTTTTTCCTTAGGTACGAGCATAAATTTTACGAGTCTCTGCACATAAAATATGGCTTCAGCAGTTCAGCGTTTGTAAACCATTCCAGAACATTAGAATCTGATACGTTTATCTACAATTTCAATTTATTTGTTTTATTGGGGTCTATATAAGTGAATTTTTAATAAGAGTTTGCGTTATGTACGAATATTCACATATATAAATAAAAAGCAGAAAAAAACGAAGAAATATTATAAGAAATGTATAGCTTCGTTGACTATTTTTTGTTGATAAAGCCTTTTTTGTATCTAAGCACTGAATTCGGAGTTGGTGTTCACTGCACAAATGTTTGGCTTGAAAATTATTCGCAGTCTCAGTTCAGTCTCAGTTCAGTCTCAGTTTTAATGCGAATAAGTTCAAGTGTCTTCTGTTTATAAAAACTTATAATTATTTTTGTAAAAAAATGAGAAAATTTATTAAGTTTTGTACATTTCGGTGTTTGGTAAGTCGGCGCAGAGCAGAGATTTCACACAGATTTGTGCGTACTAAAGCTAAACGCCTTTAAAAGGACGTGTAATTATAAACAATTAAAACATCCTATCGATTGTGTATGAGAACAATAACAAATATCTAAATACAAATTATAATTGTACAGAATTACTTTTGAATATATGAAATTATAACTTTATGGTGACATAAAAAAATACTAAAAGTCCCGTACATTAACTCTACGAGGGCCATAATTCATAAACCATTCACAAAACCGTTTGGTTAAAATTTATGACGGAACATATGTCATTCGTTAACACTGCTCTGTACAATTTTCAGCTCTTTCACTTAAGTTTTTGCAATAAGTATCACTGTAAAAATTTTAATTACTAAATTTTAGTAATCTTACGAGTAGTAAAAATATTTCGGCAAATAACATATCAACAAGCAAAAACTGTTTAATATATCATTGTGTTGTGCTAAATAGCAAATATTTTTACAAATTTTACTTGCAAGAAAAAAAAAATAATTAAAAAAAAACTTGTCTCAATATATGGTATCTGTTGCAGGGTCTGGAATTAAACACCTCGGAGCTTGAACCAATACTCGCATCTCTATCCAAACCACATGCCGAAGCGATTAAACAGCGTGTGCGTGCACTCAATCACACTGTGCGGGGGCGCACAAAAAATCGGCAGAAACGCAAACCAGACATACGCGATGTTTTCCGAGATTTTGATGTGAGTTCTTAGAAAAGTGAAAATGATATCTCCAATCTATAACCTATTGAATTACTGTTATATTAATTTATATATTTTAACAGGAATCGAGCACTGGCACACGTTCACGAAGCGCAACACCTGATTCTCTTGATTCGATACATGGTGACGAGTGGGGCAACGCTTCAATGTAAGTTGTTAAGAAGCAGTCTTAATTTAAGCTGACACTATATCAGTGCATTGCATATAACATTTCAAACCAAATTTTGATGAATTACTTTTGCCTCCTTAGACCAAGTTTTGTAAGTGTTTTTGATACTGGCAATGGTGCGGACACAAATCATGGACATCATCAAACAATACAATTGGGTAAACATCTTAAACAGAAGTTACGACGAACCCCAAGTGCTCCACTTAAAGGATCAACAGATATATTTCGCGGTTCACATATACGATGCGATATACCAATGTACTCATCTGATGGTATTGAGTTATTAGGTTTTTCACGTATTGGAACTATACATATACCCAGAAACCGATCCGGTTCTGATCCATCGTGTTCAGTTGGGTAAGTACTTATAGCAACTTTGTCTTGGATTCAAATTTTATTTCCTTTAAACTTTTAGTTAAGTAGCATTTGATTTCATTACTATACAGATAGTTACTTGGTTCTGCTTACTTGTGTATGTTATGTTAGTTAAAACTTCTGATAGCTGAAGCTTGGACTTATATAGTACATTTGATTTTATAATCATAAAAACAATTATAATCGTTTCCCTTCCTTTGTGAAAGTTAAGTTGGTTAATCTTGCTGAAAGGTAAAGCTTTGAGTTAGGAGGCATATTTGGTTTCATTACCAAATATGCAATAATTATCGATTTACTTCCCTATGCTGGTTGGATTATGTTAGTCTGGCTGGCCGTAAGCCATACATATGCCTATTTATCCCTATCTACAACTGATTAAGTTAAACCTCTATGTACATTTTTCAAGCAAGCATTTTTATTTTGTAAATATAGAAGCTGCTTAAAACTCAATTCCTGATAATAAGCCACTAAACATTATTTAAAGTCTTTTTTGAAAACTTTCCGCACTTTAGTCCTCTTCTCCTCTTGAAGCATGGTGTATCTACAATAGATCTAAATCTTACTGTAATGGAAGGATTATGACAAATATCATTCCAGGAGTAGTTTGTGGCATTAGGCTCAGCATCAATGATACTGTGTGAGCTGGAGCGCACAGACGCTTGAGACCTCTGTGGACACCAGCGAAGTATTTGTTTCACAATGTAGTTCGGTGGGTTTCGAAGGGTATGGCCAATTTAACGCTATTTACTGGGCTTAATCTCAATGGGCGCCATTTGTTGATTTGTCCGGTTTCTATCCTAAGTATGATTGAAACTGAGACGCTGTGTGTTACAGTTCTAATATACACGCACCGTGCGATCAAGGCAGTTGCTTTATTATTTTTTAACAGTTTGTATTGAAAATTTTGATAATATTAGCAATATCAAAACATATGTATTTTCTGTATATTTTTACCACGACTTTTCGCAAAAACTTTCTCCTCTCCTGAAAAGTTATCGTAGCATCAATAATTAATTATCCGATTAAATTTACCGAATTAGTCCGTAGTTAATTGCAAAAATATATGTTAAAATTAATTTAATTTATAAAAATTATAGACGTGCTCGAGGGCAATTAATGCAGGACTCACACAGCGATAACAATACATCTTCAGGTGATTCTAGTGATGAATGTCTATCCAATACAGCACGTTCTTCGAACACTTCCTCTCCTGAGAGTACACCACAAAAAATTTTAAGTAAAATACATTTAGACACACCACCACAAAGTGTACAGAACTCACCGTCTTCACGTGATGGCATTAGTTTTGAGAGCATGTGCCGTGAGTCTTCTAGTCAAGATGAAATTGTAAGTATTAAATACTTTTAAAAGCTAATAGAAAAAAATTTATTAATATATGAAAAATCTTTTTCTCCTTATAGGATACTGTCGATAGCAGTGATACATCGATTGAATTTTGTTCAGATATTGACACAATAAACGAAACCGAGCTTAAACGCTTACAGCCTATATTTTGGTTAGAGTTAGCCACAATATTCGATCGTAATCACGTGTCATTGGATAAGAGGAAACCCTTCAAGAGACGACGCAAAGAAGAAGGTAATCTCTTTGGAGTTTCACTCAACGCCTTGATACGTCGTGATCAACAGATTACGGGTAAGGATTCAACATTGGTGCCGTTGTTCTTGGAAGGTGTGTTGGAGGAATTAACAAAACGTGGTGCTAGAGAGGAGGGTATTTTACGTGTCGCTGGACACAAACAAAAGGTATATAAAATCTCATTATGATGTTTTTATTTACTTAGATTATTTTCTATTTATAACGAATAGACTGAATTACTTTATAACGAATTGGAGTCGAGTTTTTACCAAAAACCAAAAAAATTTCCGCAATTACTGAGCTCGGCCAGTGTGCATGACTTAAGTGCTCTGCTGAAGCGCTGGTTGCGTGAATTACCTCAACCGCTGCTTAGCAATGAACTTATACAGCTTTTCTATCAATGTCATGCTTTACCAACTGTGGATCAAGCGAAGGCATTGGCAATCGTCTGCCAAATGTTACCGCATGAGAATCGTAACACATTACGTTCACTGATACGTTTTCTCAATTACGTCATAGAAAACAAGCAGTTCAACAAGATGAATATGCATAATGTGGCAACCATAATTGCTCCATCATTCTTTCCACCTCGTTATATCCATCCAACGGATAAGAACAGTATTGAGGAACAGGTTAAGATGGCGGCGCAGTGCTGCCGTTTAACGAATATGTTAATAACACGCGGAGAAGCGTTATTCCAGGTGCCAAATAATCTAATCGAAGAATCTAAATCGAACAAATCTCGTCAAGTAAATTCCGAACCTCAAACATTTTAAATGCAAAAACTAAAGTTAAAAATTATTATTTTTCACAGGGTAAACGTGGCTTACATCGTCGCGTGAAGGCTACTACTTCCTTATTGCATGTGGGTAGCAGCAACAATAATCACTCACTAAGTCCGAATATTGACAATAATGGCAACACCGTCACTCGTCAACAGTCAATTAACCCAAGTCACGTGCATCGTCTCATCATTTGATCAACTCCAAGCCACTTCCGTGCAGGAGCGCAAAACTGGTGTCTACAAGACGTGCTTAGTCGAAGCTCAAATTTATTACTTCAGTTTTATTTTTGCTAATTAATTTTAATCAGTTTTTTTAGTTTTTATCTTAAAATCCGTGCGAAATAGTTTTGTATATTTAATTTTAATTAAAATATGAATTTTTACTACAATGAACAAAATTATATATAAAACTATATTCTTTTAAATTATGTTAGTTGTAATTAAGTGAAGTGATAGAAATTTTGATTTTAAGTGCTTCCATGCTTAAATAATCAATATAATGATAAATTTTGATTTAAAAATATTTTCGCAATATATTTTTATATATAAAATTAAATTATATAAAAATAATTAATTTGACTCAGAAGTTTTAAAGGCCTGTGCTCATTTAACTACTGAGCAATAAAGACGTAAGCATTACTTATCTTTGGTAATTTGTATATAAAATATAATTTTAACTTATACGCATATACTTATATATATATATATAATATTTGTCATATACGTTTAATAAATATTTGTTAGTGATATGTGCTTGTGGCACATAGGCAAAGTGAATCATAAACTTAAATTCATTTCTTTAAAATTTTCTATTGAAAAGTGTATTTCAATTTATGTAAGCGTATCAGGGTTATACAAACCAATAAATAAAATAATTATTTTTAATTATCATAATGAAGAACGTCTTACCGTTTACTTAATTCGTAAAGGACATGGTTTCGATTTTTAGAAAAGTTTTAGAGTACAATACAACGTGTCTAATTTCCAGACTATATGTATGCAGTCCAGCTTCAATAACTTAAATATTTCCCTCGTTTAACAACTCTTTACTTACATATAGTGGGTTGTTGAAACAGCGAATCGTTCAACAAGTGGCTCCACTGAAGTGAAGGATTAGCCGAAGTAGACCACGAAACTACTTGGGTCCTTTTTCATCCTTTTATTCTCAGATGTCGTTAACAACTTTGTCTTTCTCACTAATTTAAGTGTGGATTCCAGACTACTGATAACGAACTTATGGCAGGTATGGAAATTAGCGAGGTGAATTAGTGTTTTCCATATAATATTTTCTCCGCTTTATAATGTCACGTGTGACAAAATAGATAATGCAAATCTTATGTGCGCAGCATATGTAGCAGAAGTCTTAGGTTATTACCAACATACGGATTCAGATAATGTGTCGATAAAAACTCTATTTGAAAAAAATTTGTTAGTATCAGTTGATATAATATTTTTGGATATAATTTCCTACTTGGGTAGGAATAAGGTTTATCCAACACTTTCACTTGCACTACTTGTTACATAAATCATATCTGTTTTACGGAGTTACTTATCGTATTGGATTAACATTATTTTGTTCTAAACAAGCGTAAGAATATAATGCATCAATTTGCGTACCATTGAAATAAATTCTGCCGTTAGCAATGTAAGTCAAAAATTCAATATATTTTAGTCCTTGAGGAGCCAGGGACATCTAAACCTTTGACTAATTCATTAGTTCACAGCACCAAGAAAGGAAAATTCAACTTCACATCGAATGAAATAGAAATTCCAACAGTCTTCCTGCGCAACTTTAACTGTTAATCACAGCTACCACGACATTCTCGTATAGAGCCAAAACAGTGCCCAGAACAGTCTAAGTTGTCTACTTAGACTACTACTTACCATTGGTTTTATATCAAAACAGTATAGAATGTTGTCTGATAGATTTCATTCATTTTTTTCCATACATATGATTTATCTTGTGAATAATATAATACCTATATCAAAGGGAACTCCACATCGACGACTTTTAAATATACCATCAAATTATGAGCTGTCTACTATTCTCAGCATATTCATTCTATCTAAGCAAGTAAAACGAGCAGAACGATGTTGAAGAGCAATCTTTGTATTTTTTTGTTCTTTCGCTTTTAAATTAATATATGGTTATTTACATCTGGACATTTCAAAGGGTTCGAATTTATTACGTTCTATTGCTTTAGACCTACTGCAATATCTGAGTTCTACTCTCGTTCTCGTTCTCAATCCTGCTTGTAGACTAGGTTCGTATGCAACATTTACAAGAGTTTGCTATATACCGTACGTTGATCTACTTAATCCGTTTGGTAATATATATGTATTGTATATGAGGATTATGAAGAAGGTTATCAAGGCTTAATAAGGGAATTGTTGAAACATTACCTCCAAACATATATAGACTTGGTCAGCATGACAAGATACAGTTTTTTGCTTCATTTAATTTTTTTGTATATTTATTAGAAATTAATATTTCTAAATACAAGTAAATACAAATATCACAAGTAAAACTATTAAAGCAAAAAATGTAAGTTGTGATATATAAAAATTGAATATATATTGTAAATGAACTCAAATAGAATTATTTCCATTAATAACTTAAAATTTAGTCAAAATAATTTCAGAATCCATTTTAATTAGTTTAAATAATAACTAATGTATCATAAGCCTTTACAAAAAAATTAATACTCATTAATCTCATCAAATAAAAAATTTATTAATTATTAAATAAATTATTTTATTTCATCGAAGAAGAACAGCAAAATGGGCGTTGGACTGTAAATTGTGGTTGCTGCATAGACTAAAAAGAAGCTATGTTTCTTGCACACTTCCAAATTTTTGCTTAAAAATTAGCACTAGATGGCAGTATCATGTAAATTGGTTGTGTTCCGCACTAGTTCTATTTCAATATCTATTTTTTATAAAATCTAATACAATATTTGGATATATATAAATATAATTATTTAGTAAGTGACAAGCAGCGCATAATATCTCTTTTAGGTAGTGGTGCATTCATAGCCTTTTATTAATTAATGTGATAAGTTACGAACCAATTAGGTATTGACGACAAAATAGGCCTGTATAATCAGATTGTTAGTAAGTTATAATCTTCGTCTAATTCTGAGCTATTTTTTTGGAATGATTATTGAAATGAATTGATTATTCCGTTTTTTTAATTATATATCAGGGTTCAGAAAAACACTGTGCTGTGCACAAAAATGCAAAACACCACGCACAAATGTTGTGCGATTCTAAAATTTCACACCACAAATGTGGTGTGCGAAAATTTTTGTGCACATCTTAAGTGCACATCTTGTGTGCACAAACGAAACGCACATTTCACACGAGTGTGGTGGAGTGAAATAAAACTCGCACACGCATTCGGTGTTTGTGCCGAAGTTATTTCGCACAGCACATTGTGTGTGCGGCAGCCAACATGCCCTCGCACACAACGTGTGCAGAAAAGAATACGAGAAGCACATTTTGTGTGCAGGCTCGAAAATAAAAATGCACCCAAATGTGCGGAGACGAAATGTCTACTGCACGTTTGTGTGAAATGATGATTTAAAAGCGCACAATATTATGACAAATATCGCAGCAAAATAGTACGGAAAACTGATTTGTATTAATTTTGGTCTTAATGCGAAATATTTTATTGAAGAAATAATTTTGTATTTATATTTTAATTTTGAATTTATTATTAGATTTACATTTATTGCTTATATTACTTATTTTTTTAAGGTTTATTAATTTAAAATATGGGAATAAAGTTAATTTCACAATGTACTTGAAAACTTTGTTATATTAAATAGGTACATGAATTTAATAGAGAAAGAGTATTTGTTTCGAAATGTTATAAGTAAAGAGGATCGGTTCTACGGATCGTACTTTGAAAAAATTAAATATATCAATTTTGGACTACTTCATAAAATTTTATTTAATAGTAAGTTGTACACTAAGATTCGTTAGTAAGGTTATAAAAAGCAAATTAAATATTTTTTACAACATAAATTAATTTTGTTATTAGATTTCAATTAATTTTTTATCTTTAATTACAGCTTAAATTTAACAAAGTTATTGAAATAATTTTATAATTTAATATCTTAATTTCGTATTATAAAATATATAATTTTTATTACATATTTTTTGAAATAAATGTTCATTTAATCTTATTAATAACATTGCTGAAATATTTTTTTCACTTAAATTATATCTCTGCTTACTTAGCACAATAGAAAGGGCGCTAAAATCCTGCTACCTGTTCAAGAAAATATTTTCTTAATCTTTCGCGTTTTTTAATGAATGTTAGATACTCTACCTAAGTGAATACATATTTCTGGAGAAGAAAAATATCTATTTGTGGCCCTCCCGTATTATCTTTTTTAAACTGTTGCAAAATTTATTAAACAAATACACCAATACCAATACCTGCTACCTGTTCAAAAAAAATATTTTCCTAATCTTTCATATTTTTTGGGCATAAAAAAATCTTCCTAAAATATGTTTTTATTTTTTTTAAACTGGTGCAAAACTTTCCAAACAAATACTTTAAGTTCACTTACTATATTTGCATTTAAAAATGCTCAAAGTAATATACAAAAAACTAATATTTTAAGTTAAAATACAAATAAGGTTAAGACAGTTATAATGTTTAGTTTACATTAATTAACAAAAATAATTATTTTAAATATTTGTTAATTTATGCAATTTTTAACATAAATTACGATCCCAACGAACGCAAATATCAATTTTTTTCAAAATTTGCAACAAAATAATATTTTCTATTTCAAACAAAATTGTGAAGTTCCTGTAATTTTTTCCACCCTTGGGTGCAAGCGCAAAATCGCACATTTGTGCACGTTTGTGCATCGCACATTTGTGCACGTTTGTGCATCGCACATTTGTGCACGTTTGTGCAGTCGCACATTTGTGCACATTTGTGCAAACGTAATATGAGCAGCACACTCGTGTGCAAAGAGAATTTTTTGTCGCACAGTGCGGTGCGAGCATAAAATTTTCTCGCACATCTGATTGTGCACATTTTTAAAAATCAGTCACACAGCACAAATGTGTGTGCACGAATCTGTGTGCACAATCATCGCTTTGTGCGATGTGAAATTTAAAATCGCACAACAAATTTGAGTGCGTGCATTTTTTTTCTTAATACCACAAATGTGCGTGTGCATATTTTAAAAATAATTTCCACTCGCACAGTGCAGTGTGCGATTTTGTGCACCACATTCCGAACTCTGTTATATATTTTCCTTTTCTTGAGGCATGAGGAATATGAAGAGTGACA